AAGGAAAAGCCATTATACATTTGTGAAGACATGGACAGAAATGTGTCCTGATTGTGGTGCCAGAAAGCACTGAGCCTACTAGAAGACGTCAGCAAAAGATCCCCTGAAAAGTGACTCCAAGTCATTCACTGCAAGGGATGGTTACACAGATGCAGGAATACAGAAGGTCAATAGTAGCTAAAGCTACATCACAGCTTAACACTACATCATCCATCTCACTTCATCTCATCACATCCGTATTGTGTCAGGTGAGGATAGAACAGGAAGATATTTTGATGAGAAAGAGAGAGCACATTTACATAACTTTTATTACAGAATAATTGTTCTATTTTATTGTTAGTTATTGCTAATCTCTTACTGCACCTAATTTATAAATTAAACCTTGTTATAGGTATGTATGTATAAGAAAATATAGTGTATATAGGACTTGGTGCTTTCTTCAATTCCAGGCATCCATTGAGAGTCTTGGCATGTACCCACTGAGGATAAGTGGGGGCTGCTGTACATACTTTGCAAATATCTTTTCTCATCCCATGGGTTGTCTTTTCATTTTCTTTCTTTTTTTTTTTTTTTTTTTTTGAGATGGAATTTCGCTTTTGTTGCCCAGGCTAGAGTACAATGGCGCGATCTCGGCTCACCGCAATCTTTGCCTCCCAGGTTCAAGCAATTCTCCTGCCTCAGCCTCCCGAGTAGCTGGGATTACAGGCATGAATCACCATGCCTGACTAATTTTTATATTTTTAGTAGAGACGGGGTTTCTCCATGTTGGCCAGGCTGGTCTCGAACTCCTGACCTCAGGTAATCCACCCGCCTCGGCATCCCAAAGTGTTGGGATTACAGGCGTGAGCCACGGTGCCTGGCTGTCTTTTCATTTTCTTGATGGTGTCCATTGAAGCACAAAAGTTTTAAATTTTGATGAAGACCAACTTATCTGTTTTTTCTTTCATCACTTACGCTTTTGGTGTCATATCTAAGAAACCATTGACTAATCCAAGGTTACAAAGATTTGTTGCCTACATTTTCTTCTAAAAGTTTTATGGTTTTAGTTCTTACATCAAGGTCTATTTTTAGTTGACTTTTTTTTTTTTTTTTTTTTTTGAGACAGGGTCTTACTCTGTCACCCAGGCTGGAGTGCAGAGGCACGATCATGGCTCACTGCAGCCTCAACCTCTTGGGCTCAAGCGATCCTCCCACCTCAGCCTCCCAAGTAGCTGGTACTACAGACGTGCGCCACCACGCCCAGCTAATTTTTTTGTAGAGATGGAGTTTCACCATATTGCCCAGGCTGGTCTCGAACTCCTAAGCTCCAGCAATCCGCCCACCTCGGCTTCCCAAAGTGCCAGGATTATAGGCATAAGCCACTGTACCTAGCCCCAAATTTTGTATATGGTATTAGAAAAGGGTCCAATTTCATTCTTTTATATGTGGAAATCCAGTTGCCCCAGCACCGTTTGTTAAACATATTTTCTTCCCCATTTAATTGTCTTAGTATTCTTGTCACAACCAATCGAACATAATTGTACAGGTTCATTTCTGAACTCTCAGTTCTATTCCATTGTTGAGCATATTTTTTAAGGGCTGTTTTTCTCTCCTGTGGTAACTGGTGACCTGTACCTCCTGGAAGAGAGATGAAAAGATTCCCAAGCCAACTGAGTTACCTCGCGTGGTTCAGGTCTCTGTGGCTCTCTGCACCTGTTTCTTCATAATGACATCCTCTTGCAGGATTTGGGCCTTCTCTTTTGTTGTCACGGCAGCCCAGGAGGTGGCTGACTGCCCAGACAGCCTTATCTCTTTCCTACCTCTCAAGGTTATTGTAAATACCAAATTAGATTGTTTATACACAAGAATTTAGTACTAAAGCACTATACAAATGCAAGCTATATATTTCTATTTATACTTCTCCTTCATGAATAAGACCCTAAAAATAGAAGATATTTTTAATTTTTACTCATTGGGCTCAAGGTTGCAGTGTCTGCATTATTGCAAATTCCAAATTAACGAAGACTGGCCTTTCTTATCTTCTTCCCGCAAAAGGGTGTGCGCTCATCCCGGAGTGTGAATATGACTGTGGGTCATTTCCTCTTTCCTCTGCACCCTTCCTTGGATGAGGTTGTGCCCTGTGCCAGGCACCATGCTAAACTCTGGGAAAACCGCCGAGAATAAGGCACACACCATCCCTGCCCTCGAGGAACATACAATTGAGTGAAGAAGCTGGGGGATTTAACAAGCCGTTCTAACAAAGCTTTACAGTGAGGGAGGTGAAGGGTGATACCTCCCCCAGCCCTGGTGTCAGCTGCTCCAGGTCCAGGAGAAGACTTCGATTATCTTCCAACCCTGTTGGAAGTGGAGGTGGAGGCTGTTTATTGCTGGCACAGCCCCTAACCCAGGGTCTACAGACACTGTGGAAATGCCTTGCAGTCAGACCAGAGAACGAACCAGCAGAAGCAATGCCTGCCCTCCATCCTCCTGAACAGGGTTCTCAGGAGCTCTTCGGAGGCAAGGTCGGCCTCTGGCTGAGGGGTTCCGGATACAGGTTAGGCCTCAGGCTCCTCTCCTCTCTACTCATCTCCCCTCCCTTGGACCCCTCCTTCAAAAGCTGACAGAGCCCCACTCTCCTCTCTCCCCTACCCAAGCCTCTGTCCACAAAGAGACTGCTTCCTCCCATAAGACAGCAGCTCATTTGCACACAGACACCCACGGCCCTCAAAGCCTGGAAGACCAAGCTGTTAGGACCCCTGAGAGCAGGGTGGCTCCTGGGAGGAGAGCCCAGGTCACCACCTTGCCCTCCCCTGGCCCCTGGCCCTCCATGGGGCTGCTCTGATCACAAATGTCCACCCACGTAGCCGGCCCTGAAGTGCACCCACGTCCCCTGGTATCCACTGGTTCTCCAAGCCAAACTGGGCAGGGAGGAGTTGTGAGGGAAAACTGCAGGTCGGGAGGGAGGCTGGCAAAGTGGGCCAGGGCCAGGCCTGACCCCAGCTCTCCTCTCCTGGCCAGCGTTTAACAAGGCCCTGCCTTCTCCCTCCAGGGCTAGGGACAGCCACCTTCTTCCTCTCCCCACCGTCCCCTCTCCCCTGGCACCACGTCATCTGACAAGACAGTGCGAGCTCACTGGAGGTGCACCTCACAGGGGTACACCGGGTCGCGGCCTCCTGCACGCACTCCACACTGCACGGGAAGGCGCACGCGTCCCTCAGGGCCACAGACACCATCCCCCACTCACCCAGAAGCCCAAGTGATTCCCAACAGCCCCAGCAGCCTAATGGGTTAGGGTCTTGGGAGCAGCTGTCCTTGGCTCCTTCCCTGATCCCACCGCTCAGCTTCACCCCGCGGTTCCTCCATTGCCCAACCTCCCACTGCGCCGCAGGGCCTCTGCCAGAGTCAAGGTGCCTCCCGCCTCTCGGCAGGCGCCATGGGGCAGAGGAGGCCTCCACAACCGCCCTGTGCGCCGGTAGGACAACACTGTCCTCCCTCCCCCACACTTGTCACTTTGAGGGACACGTGGATGAGACAGGAAAAGACAGGGGAATGTGGAGACCTGAGGTGACTTGGAGCAAGCCTCTCAACCTGAGTGGCAATTTCTTCATCTGTAAAATGAGGGGGTTGTTCTTATCTCTGAGGCTTTGTGTCGCTCTCAAAGCCTGCCAGCCTCGGGTTCTAGGATTCTGTTGGGATCGTGTGTGCTGTTTTCTGCTGAGCGACTGACTGGCAGCCTGTGTCCCCGGGGAAAAGAGGGCAGGCGCTCCAAAGCTCCTGCGCTCCGTGGCTCTCGGCTCTCTCTCCCTGGCAGCCCCCCGCCCCAAGCCCCAGGTGTGCCGGCCGCCCTGAGCCTTTCCAGCACCTCCCGGAGGCGTCTGGGGGACACCTAAGGTCCGTCCCCCCTCCCGCTCCTCTCCCC